GACAAAAAATAAAAGTTTCATGTAGTATTATATCTCCCCAAGTAAGATTTCTGATTGTTCTGTGGTATTGTTGATGCTCTACAGGAATGTTAGCTTCTTGTCAGTATATCCTTTCCAATAACAGATTGTACTGTTGTAGTTTCTGGTATATATCAATGGGAAATACATCATCATTGTCCACTTTCACTTCATATATATATATATATTATAGTAAGTACATACACATGAAACAAAACCTATATGTTCTGCAAAGTGATAGAAAAAGAAGCAACAACAAATATGAACACAATTTCTACTGAGATGAGATTTGGCTGTTTTGTTCTTTGATGGTTTGACTTTTTTCTGTGCTTTTTTCTGTGTTTTTTCTGTATATCTGTTGCTTTAAGTTGTTTTTCTATTGCTTTGGCTCGTTCTTCTATTGCTGGACTTGTATTCCTCTTAACTTGTATATCTTTTATACTGACTTGTGCTTTTTCTTGCTTTGCATTTCTTTAGCACTGACTTGTGCTTTTTTTTTTTGCTTTGTATTTATGTTGTTTTAACTTGTATTTTTGTATCTTTAACATTAAAGATTAGTCTTTCCCCTAGTATAGAGCCAGGTCAGTGTACACTGTGCAGTGTGACCAAACTGTATATTTTTGGTAGATCAATTTTTGTATTTTGATACTAAAATGCCGATAGATTTTGAATGGACTGTTCCAAAAATACAAGTAAAACATGAAACCAATGAGAGAAAAAAGACGGAATTAATCTTATAACTTATTTTCTACTCATCAATATGTTAAAATCTTGAAAATCAGTGTATTAATCAATTATTTCAAGTCATTACTCGGTAAGTTTACATTAATATGAGAGTACAAAACTATAATAGTTAAAGTGTGAAATATCCTGTCACAGAAGATCAAAGAATCCATATAAATGTAACATGTCATTATACAATGTTGCTTTCATAATACAGTTTCCCATCTTCACATGATATAAATAAAACAACTAGCATGACAAACATTCATTAGTTTATGTAACTGATGTATGTGACGTGGAATTATGGAGGGAACAAGTTACAGGAAACATCCAAATACTCCTAACAGTCAGATAATTGGTCGTAGATAACCATTATAACAAATCTTGTGTGCGAATCACTACACCATCATTATAATAATCATCTATATATAGTCATAAATAATATCTCCTCCGACTAGACAATATATACTGTAAAATCATTATTATTCCTGTGGCACTATTTTTGTGGTTCTCTCCATGAATTTTAGAGATCCAACAAAATTTTATTTTGTCTTCTTTTTGATTATTATTTTTTACACTACAATATTGAAAGTTTACTTTTTTGAAAAAACCAGACACAAAACAATATAGGCATTTCACTTTTTTGAAGAAAAAAACAACAAATTTAAGTATTTCGGCAAAAATGTCCTTTTTTGACAAAACCACGAAATTTTATACCACTAAATTAAGTGAATTCACAGTATAACTGTAACAAGAGCTGTCGGTAGGACAGCAATGCTCGACTATTCTTAGTGCTTGATAGTTAAAAAAAATGCTTGATAGAGTTACCTCCTCCTGTTTACAGGTTGGGGTCATGATGGTGAACAAGTGTGCAAAGTTTCAAAGCCATATGTCAATGGACTTTGAAAATATTTGAACTATTACAAAAACTTTAACGTAAATTCTAAGTCGAAAAAGGGGCATAATTCTGTCAAAATGCTTGATAGAGTTACCTCCTCCTGTTTACAGGTTGGGGTCATGATGGTGAACAAGTGTGCAAAGTTTCAAAGCCATATGTCAATGGACTTTGAAAATATTTAAACTATTACAAAAACTTTAACGTAAATTCTAAGTCGAAAAAGGGGCATAATTCTGTCAAAATGCTTGATAGAGTTACCTCCTCCTGTTTCCAGGTTGGGGTCATGATGGTAAACAAGTGTGTAAAGTTTCAAAGCCATATGTCAATGGACTTTGAAAATATTTGAACTATTACAAAAACTTTAACGTAAATTCTAAGTCGAAAAAGGGGCATAATTCTGTCAAAATGCTTGATAGAGTTACCTCCTCCTGTTTACAGGTTGGGGTCATGATGTTGAACAAGTGTGCAAAGTTTCAAAGCCATATGTCAATGGACTTTGAAAATATTTGAACTATTACAAAAACTTTAACGTAAATTCTAAGTCGAAAAAGGGGCATAATTCTGTCAAAATGCTTGATAGAGTTACCTCCTCCTGTCTACAGGTTGGGGTCATGATGGTGAACAAGTGTGCAAAGTTTCAAAGCCATATGTCTATGGACTTTGAAAATATTTGAACTATTACAAAAACTTTAACATAAGTGGTTACGCCGACGCCGACGCTCGGGTGACTGCAATAGCTCTACTTATTCTTATCGAATAGTCGAGCTAAAAATGGCCCTTTATAGATATGATGATAAATACTGCAAAATCAGTCATTTAAAATCACAGTCATGTAACATATAAATTATTACTTGAATCTTGAATATTTTTCCTTTTCTTTAAATTATGGTACATTTTTCTCACTTTTTATTTTTCTTGAAATATTTTGGCTCATCTAGAGGCATGTTGCTTTAAAGTGAAGATACAGACACACGTCTATGATTGGCATGGTTAGGGAGACCTAAAACAGTTTGTTTTGTTTTTTCTTTGCCTAAGAAAAACAACAAAGATTGCAGCCAAGCAGCTTTGAATACTGTGTAAATGTTTATTTATATGTAATGTAAATGGTCTTCTTTTGTATTTTATGGACATGCAGACTTTCTTGGCTACAAGTGGGGACTTACCACGTCTAGCACTAACAAGGTTAATAAATGGCATGAAACCCAAAATGCTTCATGAAAAAAACTCAATCTTTCCAAAAGTAATGTGAAAGGAAAGTAAGGTAAAGGTAAAATAAAGGTAAAGGAAAGGAAAGGAAGTTTAGGAAAGGAAAGGAATTTAGGATTTTATTTAATGATGCAACACAGTTGGGGAAGCACAGTTTTCCCTGTGAGCCTCTGATCGCAGTCTTTTATGAGACATTAATTATTGGTGACCAATCAGAACATTCTTTGTAAATATTTTTTCTGGAAATGAGACACAATTTTCTTTTTGAAAAGTAGACTATAGTGAGTGAGCTGCCTGTCCCTTAACCAAGGGATAATGGGTTAGAGCCATACTTAGGTATCTACCACATTCCCTAAAGAGACACAAGTACTGGTTGGTGTCAAAAACTGTTGTTTTTTTATCATGTATAAAACGACAAGTTTCAAGAATCTTGTTCCTTTATTAAGGTATTCCCTGTTAAAAATATGTTTTAACTTATTAAACAAAAGAGGGCAAAAAAAATCCATTTAAGTAAAGTAATTTCCCTGGATTTCTGGTAAAGTCAAAACCCTCTATGAAGTTGATACACTCAATACAGAGAATAGCTTCACCCCTGCTGTTCAATAGTGAAGAGATTTAAACAATACATGCATTGACGTTAAACCCAATAAAGTAATGGAAGTTGAACAAAAATAGATAAAAAATTCAATTCAATTTCCAGCAATGTGAGCAGCACAGATTTATGTTACCACTGTTTAGATTTTACGCCAAATAAAACATTCACACTATGAGCCAATAATATTAGTATTCTGATCTCTCTGCAATGTTACATTTCTACCTTATTTGTAGAATTAAGTGGGTGAGATCATAACTTTCAATTTATTTTTTCAGGCAGCAAAAAGGTTGCTGTTAGGAAACAGTTAGATGTAATGATTGTGTCGGGAATTTATTTCATGCTTTCCAGTGTTTTATTGTAATATATCAGATGATTATATTCTGATAAACCACTAGTGAAATTTATAAAATATAATTTTCACTGTAGCCGGACTATATCTGAATGCGGATGAAAAGAAAATCAAAACTGAATGGAATAACAGGCAAAAATAAATGCCGTCATGCGTAAATTTTGCTTCTTTCGGAAAAGAAAGTCGATGTCACCATACATTATGCTAAAAATGTAACAAAATTAGAGAAATTTAACAGAACTATATTTCAAATTTGTTGATGCGACGTCATGATGTGATGACGTCACGAAGGAGAATGCGCGACGTTACGCGGCAAAATCAGTAAAAATTACTTAAAATTACTTAAAACACATGAAATAAAAAGAAAATTTATTTGTTTTACATATAAGATTGAAATATATTTCATTCGTGAACACCAGCTATGATATTTTCACTCGTGGCTACGCCACTCGTGAAAATATTGCATCTGGTGTTCACTCAGTGAAATTATATTTCAATCTTACATGCAAAACAAACAAATATCCTCTATATAATATATACATGTATGTGAATAAGTGGGCCTAAAACTCACAGTATAACTGTTCAACAATTTAGGGGGACAGAATGTGTAAGCACCCGGATAGTTCAGTCCATAGAGTGGCAGAACAGTATTCCAAGGATCCCGGGCTCGAGTCCCAATCAGGCTGCTTATTTTTCTCACCCTGTGACATCTGGCGCAGAAACGGGACCGTGACGGTATAATTAGCTCAAAGTTTAAATCACATTGCTCAGTAACCCTGAGAAATTTGAGGACGTAATGGGCCTATTTAATTATATATATATACAACAAGGGAACCAAATAATCTGTACAACAAAAAGACTAAGTTACTTCTTGTCAACTACTTATGCCACAAAGAAAAACCTTTTATGAAGGACCACTTAGTATTCATTTCTTGTGAAGTCTGATCAAAATCTACCCTCTTGTTTCGAAGCTTGACAATTTAACAACGCACGAATTTACATTAACAACACAAGAATTGACATTAACAACACAAGACTGATGACATACACCAAGCAATCACAAATACACACCTTAAAGCACTTTGTGCTTAGGTGAGCTAACCACTGGGCAGGTGAAATTTTAGAGATTAGTCAAGCTGCATAGAATTTTTCAGGCCAAACGCCAAACATAGTACAGCCTCTAGCAATCATAGATTATGAGAAAATAATACCTTCTGTACTTAGGCCAGGACTTGAGGTAAATTTGGCAACATCTACAATCTTCACAGCAAACTGTTTCCTCGAGTCTCTGTGTAAACATCTCCGTACTATACTGAATGGACCCCTGAAAATATAACAACCATCATGTAAACATCTTTGTACTATACTGAATGGACCCCTGAAAATATAACAGTCAACATGTAACCTTTATATTTACTATACAATATTATACTGGTAACTGAATAGATGCCTTGTCTGTCATGTACTTCTGAAATGATAATACCAGGTCTCCATTAATTTTTTAAGTACCACTTGCAAAACAACATAGCCTGAATACTTTTTCAGTTCAAATTTTTACATAGTATCGACCTAATGGCTAAGTATAAAACACAACAAATTTGTATTTAAAACATTGTCGAATGCTGCCGTTGTTAGGAATCAATTCCTCATACACATTTGGTAAAGTTTTAAACTTAACCATCAGGTCATTTTCAGGTTTCTGGTTTACATTATTACGATTGAAATGGCGTCTGCAGTTTGATTATTTTTACCAAATAACTTCATTTGAATTAAATATCTAAAGAACATCATTTGGATCTGGAGAATCTAACTCACACTATCAGGCGAGTTTGATCAATTTTTTGCTTGCCCGACCCGAACTTTTACTCACAAATATGAGCAGTCGAGTGGATATCTCGAGGCCTGAAAACTAATAAGACTAACCAATCAACATTCAAAAAAGTTCACAAATAACTTTAACCCTTAAATAACCTTTTTAAATTTTTTAAACAGACTTGTTCAGATTTGAATCAAGGTGCTTGAAACCAGAAATGAATGAAAATCTAACATTTTGTGAATCATAATGCAGCCCTAGATTAACAACTTCAATTTCCTTGAAAATTATCAACAGTCAGTTTAACAAAGTTTTCTTTAACTTCAGCTCATTCTGTAATTTACATTTGATATAAATTAAACTAGGTAGTATATATGTGTGGTGACAACAACCTCCCCACCCCCCTCAGACATCAATGGAGACTCTAAAGGAGGACGTATCCGTGGTAACATAACATTAATGAACAAAAATAATTCTCTTCAAGTTGACAAATATACCCGCTGAGATTTGAAACAGGTCTGACAAATCGCTGGAACAACAATAAAATTCTATAGCTCTGTATTTAAACTTAATTGTATGATTGTATGCAATAATATGGACATGCCATTATGTCTACAGTACAAGGAGGCCAGGCTTAGATTGACTGTACATCTGTGTAGTCTATGAGCAAATTCCCCAAACAAGTCCATTTAACAAACAAAGTATAGTAATTAATAAAGTAACAAGAGGGCCATGATGGCCCAAAGTCGCTCACCTGTATATAGGCCCCTGGAGCAGGGCCAGTTTAAACCCTAGGGCTTTTATTTGAACAAACTTGGTTGTATATGTATGCATGTATATATATATATAAATGTATATGTATATATATATATACATTTATATATATATATATATATATATATATATATATATATATATATATATATATATATATATATATATATATATATATATATATATATACATAATATGTATATGTATATATATATATATACATATATATATACATATATATATATATATATATATATATATATATATATATATATATATATTAAATATATATGTGTATATATATAATATGTTTATATCTAAAAAAAAAAGTCAAGCTAATGAATGACCCCCGGGCGGGGCCAATTTTGACCCCAGGGCTTTTATTTGAACAAACTTGGTAGACAACCATGAGAACATGTTTCATGCTAAATATCTTAGCTCTAGCTCTTTGAGTTCTTTAAAAGAAGATTTTTTAAGTTTTTACTATATGCACATAGGGAAAATCAATGACCCCCTGGGGCGGGGCCAATTTTGACCCTAGGGCTTTTATTTGAACAAACTTTGTAGACACTCATTAGAAGATGTTTCATGCTTAATATCTTAGCTCTAGCTCTTTGGGTTCTTTAAAAGAAATTTTTTTAAGTTTTAACTATATGCATATAGGGAAAATCAAAGACACCCTGGGGCGGGGCCAATTTTGACCCTAGGGCTTTTATTTGAACAAACTTGGTAGACACTCACTAGAAGATGTTTCATGCTTTATATCTAAACACTAGCTATCTGGGTTTTTTCAAAGAAGATTTTTAGGTTTTTGCTATACACAGTCATATAAGGAAAATCAATGACCCCCGGGGCGGGGCCAAATTTGACCCTAGGGCTTTGATTTGAACAAACTTTGTAGACACTCACTAGAAGATGTTTCATGCTTAATAGCTAAACTCCAGCTATTTGGGTTTTTTTAAAGAAGATTTTTTAAGTTTTTGCTATACACATATAAGGAAAATCAATGACCCCCGGGGCGGAGCCAATTTTGACCCCAGGGCTTTTATTTGAACAAACTTGGTAGACACCCATTAGAACATGTTTCATGCTAAATATCTTAGCTCTAGCTCTTTGAGTTCTTTAAAAGAAGATTTTTTAAGTTTTTACTATATGCATATAGGGAAAATCAATGACCCCCTGGGGCGGGGCCAATTTTGACCCTAGGGCTTTGATTTGAACAAACTTGGTAGGCACTCATTAGAAGATGTTTCATGCCAAATATCTAAGCTCTAGCTCTTACGGTTTTTTAGAAGAAGATTTTTTAAGTTTTTCTTATTGGTTGCCATGGCAACCAGAGTTTTTAATGGAATTTAAATTTTTGAACAACTTTGAAAGGGGTTCACCTAAGGATCATTTCTGTAAAGTTTGGTTGCAATTGGCCATGTAGTTTAGGAGGAGATGTTGTTTGAAAAGTTTGACGCCATTTTTTGAAGGACGCACGACGCACGACGCACGACGCACGCAGAGTGATGACAAAAGCTCACCTTTGAGCACTTCGTGCTCAGGTGAGCTAATTACAGGACAAGAAGCGCCACGATGCGACGAAAACCTGAGGTTTTCAACAACCAAGTTTTGATGTGACAGCAATCAATAGGTCAAAGTGCACTGAAGTTATTGAGCAGAAGCTGAAAACTCTATTGTAAGCAAATGACCTTTACCTTGCTCCCAGAAGTGGCAATCCAAAGCTGCCACACAGCAAGTTTGGCGTCAAAAGGTCAAAGCAAACTCAAGTTGTTACATGAAAACTGAATACATTAACCTTGATCACAGACACCTGGGTAGCAATCCAAAGTTGCCTCTTGATATAAGCTACCCATTCATCAAGTTTGGTGTCAATAGGCCAAATCAAACTCATGTTATTGAGCGGAAACTGAATTTCTATTTTTAGTACCAGTGACCTTGACCTTGATCACAGACAACTGGGTAGCAATCTCAAGCTGCCTCTTGATATAAACTATCTATACACCAAGTTTGGTGTCAATAGGCCAAAGCAAACTCGAGTTATTAAGCCGAAACTGGATTTCTATTTTTAGTAACAGTGACCTTGACCTTGATCACAGAAACCTGGGTAGCAATTCCAAGCTGCCTCTTGATAGCTACCTACACACCAAGTTTAGTGTCAATAGGCCAAAGTAAACTAAAGTTATTGAGCGGAAACCAAAAGCTATCTGGATAGCTTCCTCACATGAAAGAATCCAAAGTCCCTGTTGTGATTCGAACCCACAGTGGTGAGGGGCAAGTGGTTTGAAGTCAACGACCATAACCACTCGGCCACAGACACCCCCAGGTAAATGAGTAATTACAGGTAAATGAAAAAATACAGATAAATAAATTATTTTAATTAATTAAATATTTTGTCGCATTTGACACCATTGGCCAGCGACAGCAGGAACACTGAATAATGCCTTTTTCCCAATGTCACCACGGGTCAGACTACCAAACACATTACCCATGGCAAATATGATTACTTTATTCTTTCCCAATCTAAATTGGAAAAAAAATCCCAATTGAACTGAAATTCCTGATATCAAAACAGACAAATTTGCTAGAGTTTATTCCAGTATGGTATATTATATCAAACAGATGTTTCCACACATTTCATTGTAATTTTAAGGCTTTGAATGATATTTGCATTGGTTGGAATAAACAATCTTGCACAATTCAAAATACACATTATATAATGTGAATGTGTGTTATGAGGTTTCTCACAGCATCACTGTTGTGCCTTGTACATTTAACAAATTTAACTTATTTTATTTAACAGGTCTTTTCCTAGCCAATTTGGGAAAAAGTACCTTGCCCAGTTTGGGAAATTTTGCATTGTAAAATAGCTAAAGAGGGGAAAATATTTTAAAATCTCCTTCATGTTCTTTTGGCATAGTATTTTAAATTGTGCAAGATTGTTCACTTTAAATTGGATTTGTCAAAGTAAGTTTAAAAACACAAACATAATTCTAGCCTGAAGACAAAAACTAGACATGTAAATTAGATTTAGTAATAATATAATAACAATATCATATTATAAACCTTATGAAAAAGAGAAAACTTAAAATTCCAATATATCAAATATATATCAGCCAACTTGCTCACTTAAAGAAACACATAATTATAGGACTGATAGAAATTACATCAGAGAAGATATTTTTTTTCAAACTTTATTAATTCAATCTTCAGGAAAACATTAAGTGCACAGGCACCAAAGATCCAAAGTGGTACAGTCATTGTGGGGACAAACACATTCTCCTAACATTTCTTTAGTATTCTTATTTCATTTTCTAAAAGTGGAACCAATATGTCAAACAGTAACACTTTATGTGGAATTAAAGACAAATTAATCTTGCATCTGCTAGGAAATGCAGAAGACACCCACAGATAAATATATCAGTCATGATATCTGTACAATCAGATCATGGTCTGCACTGTTTGCTATTCATATTTTGAAATTATGTCTAAAATGATGAATGGTTCTGTTCAGATTGAAAGATGGACAAGTCCATTTAAGATATTTAAGAAATGATCATTTTGGGTTAATAATGATATTTTGCCTTTTTTTCTAACTGAAATTAAAGTTTTGAGAAATTTGAGCCTTCATTTGTCATGCATCTTTGGAAGATTAAAAAAAAAAAATTCAGCAATCTTTACTCGTACATAAAGGCTGTTTCCCCTTGCCCAAAGAAGCTAAATTAATCCCTAAA